AATGTTCTCATCTCAGGTGTGTGTAACATACGTGAAAACAGCAATTCTGTTGATAAGATTCCAAGAAAAAAATGAGCTTTTGCAGGCAAACAGAGTAATTTGGAATAAACACAAATTTTGTTTCAAAAACAAAGAGATGTGCTGACATGCACAGTCACCATGCAAGCAGTGAGTGAGATTGCTCTGACAAGGTAAGGTCAATGAAACTGAGCAGAATTCAAAAACTCATTCACTTCAGATGTCTTTGTGATTGAAAAAAGTTTGTCAATTTGATGAAAACTCTGTTTAATTGATTTAGGTCTCATTGTTATGAGTTCATCAAGCAATCTTCCTTGTCCTCCTCTCTAACCACCATGTTGATCTCAAGTCTTGTGGGTGCAGAGCACTTTTTTTGATTTTCCACTGTCCTTTCATAAAACCTAAATGAGTTGCTGCAAGGGCACTTTGCTGTGCCAATGGCACCCAGACAGATGGAAAAAGACTCCTGTTTATCACAGAAGCTGGGCCAGACAGGTACAATGAGATTTTATTTTCAAGGCTTCCTGGAGTCAAAGAACCCTCCATCAGCTTTATCAAATGTGTGAAGAGAGTTGGCAATCTGTTGTCTTAAGAGTTGGTTGTAGAGGAGTGCACACACCTTTGCCACAATTGGTTGTAGGCCTCAACCATGGTGGAACTTGCCACACAGGATTGGGAACATGGCCTTGATGTCATGCCAAACATTCTCAACACCACACCATGATGCCTGCCATTGTTGACACATATTGTTATGAAATATATCTCTTTACATGATAATAGATGACAATACCTTGATTGTCTGTGAATGGCATGCTCCCCCATATGGTGTGATCAGATGAGGGTCACTCTTGGAAAACCCACCATCTGCAACACCTGCATTGAGTTGTTGGAGAGGGAGTGAGTGGACTGCCTGGGTAGTGGTGTGAGGGGTGATACTCCATGCAATCTCCCTACCAGCTCCACACTGTCCATGATGTGGTGCAAGAGTGGTCCCTTGATGGCATGGTGGTGCACCAGTACAGAGGTGACAATGAGCTGCACATAGACAACCCCAGACTCAAGAGGGTGCAATCCACCACCATGACTGAGGCATGGTGAGTGTGCAGAACTATTGGGGTGACCTGCTCTTCACTACAACACACCAGGCCTTCTTGTCTTGACCAATGACCCAACACAAAAAAACAGTAATGCCAACGCTGATAATGACAACGCCGCCCAAGGAAACTATTTAAGAAACATTAGGACTATTCTGGGGACTATTCTGAAGGTTCTCTTTTTTTACCTGGAATGGTGGGAGCCAATGGCATGCGTCGCAGCATTAATAAATACAACAAGCGGTCCTTTGCGCCCCGACAAGCCCCACACTACAACTTTCTTTGCAGTTTGGACGTCCAGCGGCTCAAGTAATCGAATGACCGGCCAGGAGCTAAATCACTTGGGCAGGCTGTCTTTGGTGGGCTGGCTGTTAGTAGCGTCACTTGCTTTCAGCGGAGCCAACTATTTTGCGGTGGGCCCCACAG